GCCCCAACAGTCCCCATAGCTCTCAAAGCACCCATAGCCCTCAGAGCCCCCCTAAGGCCCCATAGCCCTCCCAAGCCCTCCGAGCCCTCCGAGCCCCCATCAGACCCCAGAGCTGCCAGAGTCCCGATCTCCCTCAGAATCTTCCGCATCCCTCCCAGCCCGTTTTGTTGTTCCAAGATAAAAGTGTCTGAAGGATGCCGAGCTCTGAGCCTGTGCTGTGGAACCCTGGGGTGGGCTGGGGAGGGACCCTGCTCTGGCTGTGGGTGGGGGCTGCCCAGGGCCTCGGGCCCAGCTCCGGTGGGGCCAGCATGGCTCCAGAGGGGCTCCTGGGGCTGCCCAGGGCAGTGCCCTCAACATCTGGGGCACCCACAGGGGACCCTGGGACACCCCTTCGGAGCCTCCCTTCTCCAGACACCCTGCACCCGGTGTGTTCCCTTGGCATCTGTGGAGCAGGCAGGAGCCAAGGATCGGGGTTAACATTCCCGGAGCACATTCTGTCTAAACTGGCAGGGTGCTCGTTTCTGGAATTTCTCCAGTTATTCCAGTCTCTGTGGGTGCAGCGTTTTTGCAGGGCTGGTCAAACAGCTGGAGTGGGTCAGTGTGGGAGCACAGCCTGGGCAGTGTGAGGGGCACACAGGGGGGTTTGGGGTCCCTCCCAAGGCCTGCAGGGCCTGGGGTCCCCCCTAAGGTGTGCAGGGGTTTGGGGTCCCTCGTTAGGAGTGCAGGGATCGCAGCCAGGGCAGGTCTCCAAGGGGAACAGCCCATCTGCTGCCGCTGCTTTGGGAGCATTTCAGGGTGATTCGAGGACTGAACTGAACTTGGGAGAGAGAGGAAAGATTGATTGGAGAGTTGCTCAAGTATTTGAAAAGATCAAGTGGGAAACCCCCACCCAAGGACTTGTTCACTCTGGGCTGCTGCTCTGAGCACATGGGGTCACTTCTAGAAGGGGGATCCAGGAGAGCTGCATGGAGAGGCACACTCATCCTCGAGCTGTGGGATGTTTGCAACTGTTGGAATGGCTTCTTGTGGTGCAAACTTGAAACGCTACACCAAGAGCAGCTTCTCCACAAAGTCCCTGCCACTGAAACACTGCTTTGCTTTTTGTATGTGTGAGATTCCTGTGGACCAGCATTTACCTGCAACAGTGGTAACTCTGAGTCTGTTTCTATAATCAATATTTGGTAATTCCGTGTCTATTTCTAAAATCAACGTTTATGAAAGCACTTTTTTCTACACGTGCATTTGTGTTGGGTGAGAGGAAGGTAAACACACAAATAGTATTTTGAAGACTTCCTCCAAGATAAGAACTGTTGTGGTTGTTCCCGACTATTTATAAATATTCCATTCTATTTGTAAATAGAGGTGTCATTTTCCGGTGAATATAACTGATTAGCTGTAGAAGTCTTTGGGGACAGAGAGGTCCTTTAGGAGGCACCCTACTGTCCTGGGAACTTCTATCCCAGCTGAGACCAGCCTATTGTATCAATGAATGACATGTTCACAAGTAGTGAATGATCAACCAGTTATCAGTAACTTTTTTTAGAATCCTTTGGATTTTATATTGATAATCATTTCCACCCTATGGCAATCCTGTTAGCCTGAATTCTGTTGTGTTTGGTACTTGAAATAAAGCTGTATGGTTAAATAAATGGCCTGAAACTTCTCCTTTTCCCTTTCGGTACCTCAGCAGGGATGCTCAATTAAAACAAAAGGATGGCTGTGGAGGAATACATCCAGAGTATTATAATAACCATTTCATAATTCCAAATGGATACATAATTTGTGGCATGAGCAGGGCCTGTTTAAAACCCTGCCTGAGGCAAAGGTTCATTTCCAAGTGCACTGTTCACAGAGCTCCTTGTAAGCACTGGAGATGGTACCAGCTGGTTCCCCCTCAGCCTGTGTTTGCTTGTCATGATTGGATGTGGCAGGATGGTTTTTCCAACGAGATCAGTCACCTGGTGTTTCTGAAACATCCCCCTGTGCTGGTCAGATCTGCCTGCTGAAAACAGCTCAGGAGCTCATCAGCTCTTCCAAAGAGGGAGTTCCTCCTGCACAGATGACCTCTTGGCTTGCTCCACATCAGCACTAAAATGAAATCCAAACCACGTCTTACTGGGTGACCGAAGGCTCAGAGTCAAAAATTGTGACTCATATATTTTTAAGCACATTAATAACGCTACATTTACCCATCTGGATTCAGACAAGTTGCCTTTTTTCCTCCCTGGCTTGGCAATGAACTGTTCAAGATGTATCTTTTCTCCACACGGAGGAACAAGGTAGACGAGATGAACCAAGAGGGAAAATTCAGCCTAAAAAAATGTGGGTGATATGTAGGAGCTGTTCAGCAGGAGCCAGTGAGATATCCTAAATATCTTGGTTTGTAGCACAGAGAGGGCTGCCTACAACCCAAACCTTCTCTGTTTGGTGTCCACAATTAAAAGCACTAAAACAAAGGCAAAAAGGACACTAAAAAAAACTAAAACAAGGGCAAAAAGGAAATCCCGTATCCTCTATTGTGCACAGTGGCAGAGGAGGAGAGAAAATGGATGAGAGAAGCTGGATGCTGCAAAGACAAATGCATCATGACTGGGGAGAAGATAGGGAAGAAGGGTCTGAATAGGCTTTGGGGGAACTGAGAGCAGGCAATAAGTGCCACCTTCTGGGGCAGAGAGGCTAGTGAAATCCTGCAGAAGAGGAAACCATTGCCATCAAGAGAAGCTCCTAAAGCTTCAGTGGGGCTGTTTATTATCAGGCATAATAAAGCAATGAATATTTAAGTGCCAAGGGAGAAGAGCTTTGTGAGGGAAGGGGTGAATTCCCCGTGTCCTGGGATATTAGATCAAGATGATGCCCTGTTGGATGAGGAGGATTAACACCTAGCTCTGTTCTGGGAAGAACTGGGAAAGGTGGAAAAGCCTTGGCTCCAGAGCCTGCTCAGACAGGAATCACCTGAGCACACATCACCGTGGGTGGGATTGCAGGATCTCCCTATTCTGCAAACCCACTGACCTGGTTTGGTTTCTGTGTCACTGGAAAGCTGAACCACAAGCAGGGTTGCCCACATATCACGTTTTCCTCCTTATGCAACTGCTCCAAAAACACAAAGCAAACACAGACACACCTCCTACTATGGACTGGGCAGGATGGGAGAGTTTTGCTTTTTCTTTTTAGGCACTCGATTTTTTGCACTGCGGGGCAAAGTAAATGTGGGTCCATTCCTTTCTCTTCTAATCCAGACCCCAAACAGCAGCATCTTCTCAGCTTTCTCCTTCCCCTGAAACTCGTGGCTTATCTTGCACCAAAAGACCAGATGGGAATTACACCTTCCAGCCCATCCCTGTTCCATTACCTCAACACGGAAAAGCCATTTCAGGACGGTGATTTCATGATACATCTTTGATGGGGGATAAATTATTAAAGCAGAGTCATAAAAAATGAAAGACATTTTACACAGGGAAGGAGTCCTGACAGTAACCCAGATATGTCACAAAAACTGACTGCCACCAGATAGGAAAACCTGCCCCTTGCCAGAGCAAAAGAGGGTAAACTATGAAAGATGCATGAGGGTAAAGGGAGAAATGAAGTGACTGGAATGACAGAGTGGGAGATAAACACACCGAGGCAAGGGGAACAAAAGAGAGAAGACAGTGGAGGAAAGGGGGAGTGAATGGGGGTTAAATAATTCAGGGCAGGATTTATAACAGCCTTGAGGAAACAAGGGAGCACGAGTCATCTAGGAATCACTGCTGGGGGGGGAATCAACCCAGCCCAACGTGTTATTCACGGGTTGAAAAGAGCTGTGGGATGTTCTGTGCCATTTGGACAGACCTTGGCTGGTGTAAATCAGCGAGGAGTCCATCCAGTTGTGGGCATTTGCACCTTCTGAGGATGCAACCCATAAACAGAAGGGCAGATTCAACAATTCCAGCAGTTTTGGCCACTTTACACCACAGATGGGCCTCGAATCCTAATGAATCCCCCCTGGGTCCTGCCCTGGTCTTGGATGGGATGTGTCTGGGAGCTCCCCCCACCCACTGAGCTCCTCCTGTGCTGCCTCATTAAATGGAAATATCCCATCAGATAAGGAGCTTTGCACCATTAATCCCTGCTCGTGCTCCCAGTGCTGCTGGGGGGCAAAGCATCTCCTGTGAACTTTCTACATCTCCTCACCCCCGGGCCAGGCTCCTCCCGGAAAAATCAGCTCATGTCCTCAGAGCTGTGAAACCTGGGGCCTGCAAGAGGTGACATCCAGCCTGAAACACTCTGCTGAGCACTTTAGTCTTCTTTTCCAGCCCTGTGCTCCTCTTCTCCAGGGAATACATCCTCCCTGGGCCAGTGTTATCGCCCAGCTCCTGGAGGGGGGAACAGCAAACTTTGCCTCCTGCCTTTATTTCCCTCCATCGCATTAATCTCTAATTTCCTTGCTCTAAATTTCTGGTCTCCTCTGTTGCTCCTGTTTCAGCCTTGGTTTTTCTTGCTTGGGGGATTCCCTCCTCTCCCTCAGCCTTGCACATTTGCACCACTGCCACAAAGCACTGCTGAGGCTGGAAGGATGTGCCACGTGCACCACAGATAAAAGCAGGCATGCAAAATTCAGCAGCGTGGAATTAAGCTTGCTGGTGGGAGGATAATTCCTATTAATCACGTCTATTACAGTAATACCCCAGGATAAGACCAAGATTTTTGAGCAGGGCACAAAATTAGGGAAGGACCCAGCTGCAAAGACTTTGCAATCTTGAAAAGAAAAGCATGGCAGGAAATTATCTGGGCAGTGCACTGAGTAACTCGATTAATTCTGAGAGGAGGAGGGCCCTGAGTAGGACAGATTATGTAGGGAAAGAAAAGCTAAATGGAACAAGAAATGGAAGGAAGCAGGAGCCTGAGGAGAGCAGTTAAACCAGGAGGAAGGGGAGAGAAATATTAGCAATGGAAACAGAATCGGCCAGGACACAGAAATTGTTGGTTTTTCATAATAAATGGAAAATATTCCAGCTTGTGGCAAAATGAATTTTTTGGGTTTTGGTTTGTCTGAAATATTGTGCCCAGTTTGGTGGGAAAACATACGTGGCTACTTATGGGTTACACAAATGTTGTCTTCTGCCTTGATCTGGGTCACCACTTAAATCGACTCTGCTGCTTCAAAAGCTACCTCTGTGAAATTTCCCCTTCCTACTTTAGACACATTTCCCTACATTTTGCACTGGTGAAATGAAAGGTTGTTCCTGCTCTCACCTTCAGGGAGCTGAAGAGGCAGAAAAAATGTCTGTATTTTGGTGAACGTTTGGGTTGGGTTTTGAGCTGCCTCCCTGAAAATCAGATACTGGTGGGAAAATGATCCTTTTTCTCCTAAGTTTTCCTCCACGGATGTCTGGCTTACTACAAAGAATTGTGCACAGATAAGGTCCTTGGCTGACTGGATCTATGGTGGGCACCTCTGATTCAGAGGCAAGTGATGGGCCCTGAGACATCAGAGAGCAACAGCCAGGTCCTGCTTTCCTGGGACACCAGCAGCTCCAGGGAACTGGAGCAAAACCTCCTCCTGCAGGCAACCAACTGGCACTGGAGCTTTGGACTGGTGTCCTCTCTAATAATTGTGCAATCATTGTAATTATATACCAAAAAAAAGTTAATTGCTTAATCATGGACCCTTCAGCTACCAAGCCAGGCAATTATTCCCAGGCATGTAATCTCCAGCCTTTGTGTTGAGGAGTTCATTAGTCACTATTCACATCTTCTCGGAGGTGCTTTGCAATGGTTCAGCGATTGGATTTACTCCAATTCCTTCTTGCCTTGTACAAGCCACATCCTGACAAATATTCCTCTGTGGTTTATCCCTTGAACAAGGAGGTTCTTTCCAACCTTCCTGTTACCGGAGGGGATTCACCACAGTGTGAACATCGGGAGCTTTGAGGCAGTTTTAGGTTCCTGATTTTCCTTCCAGGTCCTTCTGGGTGGGTGTCTTTTGTCCCATGTTTGTACAGCTCCTGGGATTCTGGCCATCATGGGGTGCCTTGGCAGGGGTAAGGGAAGGAGATTGGATCTCCTAAATCATCCACTCCTTCTAAAGGTGGTACAGCCACCTGGAATAACTCCAGCACAGAACAGGGGGCTGTGTAGGAGGAGTACCTTGGAGGAGGAGGTGTGTTATGGACTCGCACTTTCACTTCGAAATACTTGAATGACTTCTCCCACCCCAAGGCAGTTTTCTTATGAACTAGACCCAGCAAACCAGACCCTCTGGATCTGGAGGGCTCTGGAGCTGCCACACTCCATGGACACGGCACAGCCCTCCCCCCCTCCTTGCATAACTCATTTGGGAAGGGAAAGCAGGGTTAAGCTTCTGCTTAAAGTCAAGGCTTTAGGAAAATAGACCTAATCCCAGCTCTAAGTGTTATAACACTTCAGACCAAGCCTGGAGGTGTTTCCTGGAGTGTGCTGGGCCAGTGCCTTGCTGGAATTGCAGCCTGGAGACTCCATTCCCACTGGAGGGGATGGGCTGTAGGGCTGGGCTGCATCCCCCACCATGTGCCACATGCATCCTATAGAATCATAGGATCATTAAGGTTGGAAAAGACCTTCAAGAGCATCAAGTCCAACCTCATGGACATAGGGAGCCTCACCCAGAAAATCTGGGCATACCCAACAACCATGAGCCAGCTAAACTCTTCCTACAGCAATTCCAGCTGGTACTTCACAGTTTTTCAGTAAAACACTTTTTTAGAAAATATGCTGATAAGAAACACTGATTTGCCAGCAAGTTTTGGTGTCTCGTCCAGCACTTGGTAAGGGGACTGGAGCACCTCCCCTATGGAAACCTCCCAGGCTGAGAAAGCTGGGACTGTTCACCCTGGAGAAGGTTGTGTGGAGACCTCACAGCACCCTCCAGGTTCTGAAGGAGCTACAGGGAAACCAGAGAGGGGCTGTTCAACAGGAACTGAAGTGACAGGCCAAGGGGGAGTGGGTATAAACTGAAAGAGTAGATTTAGAATAGATATTGGTGAGAGACCCAAGTGCTGTTTCACAGCTACAAATAAAGGGAGAACTGGACCCATTTTTCTTTCTCTGACTTTACTGTACTTACATCAAGGCACAGACATGCTAAACTTCATCACACAGCTCCTGGTGACAACTCCATGTGCTTGAGAGACAGGAGAAGGTGTCACTGAGCTCTGCTTGTCGGCTGTATTGGAGGCCGCCAGGCCATACACATTCCATGCAGACTATCCGTGTGCTCCAGCGGCTGCTCGGAGGAGTTCCCGACCTCACAAGGGTTGGTCCTGCACCAAGGTACTTGGCTCTTGCTCTGTAGCACCAGGGTTTTTCTCAGGGGTCCTGGAAGCAGAGAAAGAGCATCATTGCAAAGCTGTCAGAGCAATCAGCTGGTGACGACAACACGCTGTCACCCCGGGGCTGGGGTTTGCCCCGTGCCCAGGGGCCCTGCAGTGCCCCCCAGACACATGTTTGGTGTGTCCTCAGGCTGTTTGGTGAGGCTGGTCCTGGGTCCTGGGCCCTGCAAGGAGCTGCTCCAAAACCCATAGATGTCCACAAAACTGGGAAGGCTGGGGCTCTGGACTCCTTGTTGAGCTGTGAGCAGGACCATACCCACCATCAGCCCCAAAATGTGCTTGCCAATTGATTATAACCTGCATGGAATGGGTTTGACACATCGCTGTGTGACTGGCCCCCAAAGCAGCAGCTTGTTCCCCTCGAGGTGGGTGCTGGAAGCCCTGTCCCAGGGGAGCCAAGTTCTTGTGCTGCTCAGGAAGGACCTGGCTCCTCTCAAAACAACCAGCCCTCTCAAAACAAGCCCAGCCCACATATCCTAACCCCAGTGTGAGAGTAGCTCTCCTCTTCCATGCCCCCAGGAGACACCAGGGGCTGAGGGTTGATCCATCCAGGCACTGGATGCCTGCTGGGATCAGCTCTGGAGCCAGCCCTGTACCTGAGGTGCTGGAGGAAAGGCTGGGTCTTGCAGAAGCGCAGAGGGAGGGATGGGGAAAGGAAAGAGCTGCAGGGAACAAGGGAATCAATCTTCATTAGGAGAGAGAAGGAGGATCTGCAGCGATGAGGAGAGAGGTGTGATGGATGGGGAGGGATCTGTGAGGCTGCAGGAAGGCAGAAAGCAGATGGAGAGGCAGGAGAAACCTGCTTGGCTTTCAAATGGGCAGCTTTACACGGTGGTTGCATCAAGGCACTGTGGAGATGCCCATTCACCCCCCAGCCCGACGCTGTCCTTGGGAATGGTTCCAGCTCAGAGGAGGGAAGGAGGTGCTGACACCATGGCCAGGAGGCCAGGGGCTGGTGACCATCTCCTTGGCCCATGAAACCAGCCCAGCCCAGACACAGGAGTCCAACCACCCCTGCAGGAGAGGCTCGTGGGGCAGCACCATGTGGAGAAGCCTGGCAGGACAGCTCTCCCTCAAATCCTCACCCTGGCCCTGCCCTGTGTGCTGGCCACGAGGAGCCCTTTGCTACCAGAAGCTGTTGGCAGAGGCTGGGAGGAAATCTGCTGAGTTCTTTCCAGTTCCTATGGGCTTGAGGTGAACCCAGAACCATAAATCAGAGGATTAGGGGAAAATGCTCAGGCTGTCCTGTGCCAGTGTGTATGTGATGATCCAGGCTCAACAGGATCCAGGGGAGCCAACACCTCTCCCTTGGTGTCCAACCCCACTCTTTCTGCTGCCCTGCATTTCAGAATAGAGCTTTGAAAGCAAAACCAGCTCTGAAGCAACATAAATTCTCTGTCATCCATCAACATTTTTCCTGAGTCCTTGCCAGAGTCACCAAGTGACTTCTCATCAGCACTGGGCTGGTCCCTCTCTGCCGAGGCCGAAAGCTGGTGCATGCAGTGTATGTTCTTCATTTTAATCTACTGGCTCTCTTCCCATGACTGGCTGCATCCTTCAGCCATGGATTTCAGGCTAAGACCCAGCCTCCTGGAGAAGAAAGAGTCTGCATCCCATCCCCATTCCCATCTCCATCCCCTGGTTTCCTCTTTGTTTGCACTGGATACAGACAACTGTGTGACTGTCTGTCCCAGTAAAGCTCATTCCAAACTGGGAGGAGTGTGAGGAGGAGGTGATTCCATTTTTGTCTCCAGGGCCACCAGAGGATGCAGAGCAGGACCAGCCCTGGCTGCTCTCCGCGGGGCTGCACAGCAAGGTCTGGCCCTTGGCAAGATGGAGCTGGGAGGGTGTAAGGCAGCATTCCAGCCTTGCTCTGCACCCCAGCAACCTGAGGGGCTGCTGTCACTGCACAGCTTGGGGGAGATCTGGAAACCTGCCCCAGTTTGGGGTCAGCAAGGTCTGGAGGAGGAGAAGGTACCTGGTTGTGAGGTCTGAGCTGGCGGAGGTGTGAGGTGAGCAACAAGGACCTTGGCCCTTCAGAGTTCAAACCAAGGTCTGCCTGCAAAGCAGCAGATAGAGAAGCTCTCACAGAGCTCTCCTGGCACAAGTCTAGGTGCCAGAAGACTTCAGTGGACCCCCAAGGTCAGCTGGGGACCTCAGTGGCACATCTAGTCCTGGCCTGGGATGGAGGAAGCAAATGTTCAGGGCACCTTCTGAGCCACAAGAAACCTCTTGGGCATCCATCTCTGGAACATGCCAAGCCAGCTTCTGCTGCTTGCCCTGGGAGATGCATCTGCTTGGGCTTGCACTGACACACTTGTGCCCACTGTTCTCTGTCCCAGAGCAATGACGTTCCTTTACCATCAGCTGCTTCTGCTCTGGGCTACAAGAGTTCTCCTTCACTCTCCTCGCCTGCTGCATCTGTTGAGCCACCTGGCAGCACAGGACACCTCTGCAGGGAGCTGGAGGAAGGCCAATCTCTTTATCAGATGCACCAGGGTGGCAAGGGACAGGAGGTGCTGCAGCTCCGAGTGTGCCGGGCTCCTACGCTGCCAGCAGGGCTCGTCCCTGGGGCTGTAAAAGAGAGAAACAAAGGTACCAGAGGACAAAAGCACGAGCAGAGTGACCCCAAAAGACTGTGGGGAGAGAGGCAGCAGTGAGAACAACTGCTCCACTGGCCACAGGGACAGACACATGATGCACTTGCAGACACATCCAGTGAAGCCACACCAAGAAAGGAGAGAGAGAAGGGGCAGTCGGTGGGTGAGGTATCGTTTATTCCAAGCAGTGGGTGAGATCACCCGGTACAGGCAGAGACAAAGGCTTTACAGTCCAAGAGACAGCACACCAAACACTCGCTGGGGGGAACGGGAAGGACAAGGCTCCTGCTGGAGCTGGGAATTCAGGATGGTGTGCAGGGGAAAGGTGCTCAGGGGGAGAAAGCAAAGGGTTGGAGAAGCAGCTGTGGGACAGACAGAGAAGAGCTGGCAGGGATGAGGGAGGGGAAATGATGTTGAAGGCAAAAAGGAACAGCACCATGGGATCTGGCAGGGGTGAGGGCACTGCAGGCTGCAGGGGCAGGATCCAACAGGGCCAGGGGTGTGTGATCAGCAGTGGAACTGGGGGAGAGGGGTGGGAGCAGAGGCAAGGGGGGCAGGGACATGCAGTGTCCTGTGGCTCCTAAGCATGATCTGTGTCAGGAAATCAAAGGTGGCTTGCTCGTGTCCCTGCTGATAAATCACAGGACAACACAATGGTCTGGAAGGATTTGAAGATCATCCAACGCCCGCCACGAGCAGGGACACCTTCCACTATCCCAGCTTGCTCCAAGCCCTGTCCAACCTGGCCTTGGACACTTCCAGGGATCCAGGGGCAGCCACAGCTTCTCTGGGCAAATCCCTTGGCTCCAAACAAGGTGGCCACAGCTGAGCTTGTCTTCAGCTGGGTCCTAAATCCTGAACCAGCCCAAGGAGCAGCTCAGTCCAAAGGCCAGGGGCTACTCTCCATGTTTCCCTATCCTGACCACCTGCTCCTGGCACCACCAAGTTCTCCTGGGTGCTGTTTAACCGATAAAGACAGACCCACCCTCCACCCTGTGTCATGCCTGGTGCTCCTCACCCTCTGCTGGGAGCCAGCTCTCCAGACCCCTCCCAGAGCCAGGCAGGATGTGCAGGTCTCCCCAGGAAGACACAGGAGACCCAGCTTTGCTCAGGGGCTTGGGGCTGCTGCATGCCACAGGCGGGGGCAGGGTGGGCAGGGGACAACAGAGAGGGGGCAGAAATGCTTCCCCCTTCCATCTCTCACACCACTGAATGCACTGAAGGCAGTTATCATTCCTCAGGGCTCTCACACGTCTCTGAGGTCTGTCACTGCTCCTCATCCATCATTTTCCCGGTGGCTGGTCCTTGGCTTCCCTGGAGCAGACTGCCTGCAGGGAGGGCTGGCCTTTTAGGAAGCAGAAAGATGCCTTCAATTCATTAGCAGGATTTTCTTTCATCCTTGCCTCATATCTTCTCCACAGGACCATCAGGATTAGGCAGCTGTTCCCAAGGCACCCTGCAACAGAAATGAGGTGTTCACAAGCAGCTCAGAGTTCCTGACAGACCAGCAGTCCTGAGGTGCTCAGAGCTCTGTCACCCCCATCCCACACCCCCCAGCTTGGGAGCAGACCCAGTGGCACTGGGGAGATTGCTCCCAGCCCAGAAAGCTCACAGGTACAAGGACAATTCCCCAGTGGGATCAAACTTACCATGGCACTGCTGGAACCAGGCAGAGCTGAAGCCCATGTCTGAACATCACAGTACTTCCCAGCTGTGGAAAAGATACTGTTCTTAGAGCTGAGTACATCCATATCATCCTGCTCATACTAGAGAATTTCTTCTTCCTGCATGGCTCCTCTTCTGTAGCTGATGCCACTCTTGGGGATGGCAGTTATTCCTTGGATGTTGGGAGACACAACTTATCACAGAGGCATCTTCTTAAAAAGTCCCTTTCTCTCCTGCACTGGCACATCTTTAAATAAACCCTAAATCCAGAGAATATTATGACACACAAGAGGCTGCATTTGTACAAGGGCTGACATGTCAGCTGATGAAACATCTGCACTCATCCTTTCACCAGCCAGGGATGTAACAACAATCACTGAGGTTTTCAGAGGAGGCTGAGAGATTTGGAAGTGTCAGTGCTGATAAATCTCAGTCCTGTGCCCAGGCTGGAATGGAAGGATGGGGAGTATCAAGGGGGAACTTCCCCATCCCCCCATGCACAAGGATCCCAGGTGTGCACACGGGGTATCTAAAAGCAGTTCATTAACATGGGAAGGATGGAGGTCACTCCTCGTGGGGCTGCTCAGGCCAGGCAGGGTGACACCTCTGCAAAGCCACACTCAGGTCACAGCATTATTTAGGCTGGAAAACACCTCTAAGATGCTCCCTTATCAAGAGTTCGAGAAGAAGACTTTTGACTCCTTGAATTCCAGTTATTCTC